ATTTGGAAAATGCTTCGTTTTTGTTCTCCCTCTTTCTCTATGTGTATGAAGAAAGCAAGGCTATGTGGAATTCAATGGAAACGTCTGTTTCACTCAATGATTATGGAAAAATTTAACTACCAGCCCTTTATCATCTTAAAACGAAATAGGATGAATACATCTCATATAATTGATTTGCGGGTAGCCTCGAAACCCTACTTATAAACGAAAAAATATGGAATATGAGGACCTTAATTAATAGCCATAGAAGAGCAATTGAATGGTCTTGTTCTCTTTAACTTGAAAAAATGAAGGACGATTTTATGGATGAATAGAGGATCAAATAATAAGACAAGCTTAAAAGTGAAAATCAAATAAGTAGCTGGAAGATAGCGAGGCTCAATTCCTTCTATCATTTTAAAGTCATTAATAGTTTTTGATGTCAACTATCGACTTACTGCAACAGCAACAGATAAAGCAGTTGTTGTGGTAGAGGCAGCCCATCGCCTGACAGGCCTCTGCAACACTGGTGATACGTAGGCCGCATTCAGCACAGATGCCTAATATTGAATGCGGAGACACAGTCACCAGATGAACCGGAACCCCAGTACCAGTAGAATGAACGGCAGAGGCAGCAGGTTTCGATATCGGAGGGGTCCCCGAACCAAGAAGAGGCATCATCCACGTCGGGATGTAATGTGAAACGCAGAGATGTCGAGGTATGGGGAAAATAAATAACAACTAAGCAGGTCAAATGCGTTTTAGAAGAGCAACTGCAGAGGCGATATGCCTGACCATAATAATGAGGCCAATTTGGTTGCCAAACATAAACGGAACATGATATCCAGGCGAAAAGAGAATGAAGATGAAGAGATCATGCATCAAAATGGAAGACACAACAAGAGGTCAACTGAAATACCTCAAAAGCACCTAATCCATGAGGCAGCAGAACAATGAAGCCAACTGTGGCCACAAAATAATGCTTTGATTCTGCATACTTTCCACAGTTGATAAGTACTCTCCCGTGTATTTTGCAAAAGTACAGCACAAGATGAAAGAGGGAGAAAAGAGCTAACACCCTTCATGCCTGTTTTCGTGAGGGCCAGAAGGAAAGAAGAGAAAAAAGGAGACCAAAAAGTTGTTCAGCATTCTAAAATGGAATAGACGAGAGTCATCTTGTCTCATGCAGAGGCTAGGACAACTTAAATCCGCCTGAAGAAAGCTATTGTATCTTGGCGCGTGGGTGCCTTTACTGGCAGACTATGAAGTGCGTGCTTATAGATGTGCGCCTCCGTATGAATTCACCCACCACCGCAAAACCATTTTGCGTAGGTCGGTCTATTAGCCACTTGGCAGACAGAACAGGGGATTCCAGTTGCTGGTAGCGAAGGCATGTAAGAAGTGCGTTCAGTGGATGCAGGCAAGTACGATAACGCTGTAAATGTAGTTAGGAGATGAAATAACAAGTATTATCCCGAGGGGCTAAGCAAGTCTTGCACCTTATTCATTACTATTGAATAGAAAGGCGTTATGACAACACCATCTCATCAGAAATGGACTTCTCGAGCATAAATGCCTAGTGAGCATAATCACTAGGACTGCGACCAAGCCTTCGTCTCTAGATCTACGATAAAATCTCCTCAAGTTGCAGATTCTTAAGAAGATGCCAAATTCTTAAAATCATTACCGAGTGTTATTAGAGGTTGGTTACCTATACCAAAGTAATGAAATATTTAACTTCTAAGGAGAAAAATGGTCTCAATTGGGAAAATTATGATGAGACAACGCCTGCGGACGAGACTAAATAAAATAGATAAAACTAAATAATTTATTATTTCACAGGCAAGGAGACCTGGTGGTCAATTGTGATCAAACAAGTATCTTGATAGGTGATAAAAACGTATATTAGG